GTTTCGCTGGGGTCTCTCACAATAATACGTGCACGTGTGATCGTAGGCAACCAAATCCAGAATCTGATTCACAACACATACCTGTCATCACATCAACGAGCCAAATCAACAGTCCATGCACTACACGGAGTCAACCCCAACCACCTTCGACACTCATACCCCTCGCTTTAGTCATGCAAACCCCAAACCTCCTGTCCAACTAACCTTAATTAAGTACTCAGCACCTTTGTTAAATGGCCATTCAATAAAAGTCCGGGTGAAACCTTAATAAAACAACGAAAATCACCTGGGCTAAAGCCTTTTAGGTTGAGTGCAGAGGGAGAGTTGAAATTGAGTCGTAGACCGACGAATCGGCAACCGACYTGTTATCAGTGATAACAGATGATGATCCTCAAGGGATCAAGCTGGATCTAATCCTGATCTTGAATCAAAAGATCAAAAGAACMKGTAACACACAACAGACCAATTCCCAAGCTAAGAATACAATTCCATAATACATCCTTCCTCAAAATCTCCTTATAAGCTAAACCTAAGTCTACTTTTAAACCAAATGCTTAAGCTAAAGGTAAATCAACTACAGACTYTCACCTATTCTGGGTGRATTGCCTGAATCACCACCTGTCAAAATATAATCTATCTCCTCTAAACCAAGGAAATTTGYCAGCGCTTCCCGTAGGAAAATTGTCTTTCGAGAATTTATATAAGTCTAAATATGAAAAATATAAATAAATTCTAACTCTGGAAAGCCAAATCTTGTCTAACCCCCTGAGTTAGTAGAAATTTGGGCAGCACTCCCTTTARAAAAKGAGACTTTCCAGATTCATACTAAGTCAGATATAAAGCAGGAGATAATYTCTAACTCCTGGAAARTCAAATTATGTYTAAYTCTCTGAATTAGTAGAAATTTGCGSAGCACTCCCTTTAGAAAAGGAGACTTCCCAGATTTTAACTAAGCCAGATATATGAAAGAGATAAGTTGAATTTTGACAAGTCAAAAAGTTGGCTAACTTCTTGGATTTGTAAAAATTTCGGCAGCGCTTCCCGTAGGAAAAGTAGCTTGCCAAGATTTATACAACGCCAAGTATAAGAAAAGAGCAAGAGTTAACCTAAGTAAAAAAAAGTTATTACAGAAAATGCACGAATTGACACTAACTCCTATAGCTCTAGCACGTGGCGAGCAACTAAAGCAACTACCTATAGTAATGAACTTAAGCAAACTAGTCATCCCATCCAGTCACATGCAAACCAACCCACCAATGTAAGCACTCTCACCACCACAAGTTTATTCCACATAGATAGTTCATGAATCTTCAAGTTCTTGAATCCTTATACCTATCTTACATAAGACATAGAGCTGGACCATTCGCCATGGAAACAATGCCCAACTTGCCTTCACGATATACACGAACAGGTTGCACAACTACTTCTTTCTTCTTTCGGACAGATGACTAGGCCATTCGCCATGGAAACAATGCCTAGTCGCCCTGTGCTGCTTAATATCCAACAATTTTAGTATTTCTCTGACTTTGTTTTCAAAAAGAAAAACAAATATGGGCAGGGGACTGAACCATTCACAGTAGAAACAATGTTCAACTTGCCCAAACTATTTCCATTTATACTTAGTATTTTTCTTTTTTTCTTCTTAATGATATGGCTTAACGCTGGACCATTCACAGTAGAAACAATGCCCAGCTGCCAGTTCACATGCAAATATACATAAAGTACTTTCCTTTATACTTAGTTTAAATTATGTGTGCGGTTTTCAGGCTAAACCATTCACCATGGAAACAATGCTTAGCCTTAGACCAAAAATCCTCCCTCAAAAATAAACAAGAATTTAAACCCCTTCAATCAGACAAACCCTCAGAGTTAACTAAGGTAACCAGGCCATTCACAGTAGAAACAATGCCTGGTCCTTCAGAAAAACAGCCAAATAAACATAGCCCTGAGCCATTCACAGTAGAAACAATGCTCAGGCTTTGGTTGACCCGGTCAAACACATGCAGTCTACCTTCCTCCCACCTTCTCCCCAATTCATCCTTAGTCTGCTTTCAATCAGAACAAAGTAGAAAGTTAGGCTTCACTCTCACACATTTTTTTCCAGTTAGTCTGATTAGGTCCTGAAGAGAAAGCAAAAACCATAGGGACAATCGCATGCATACAATAATCATACTGCAGGGGGATAAACAAAACAGGGGTGGTAGTAGGTTGTACAGATGAAAAGGTATATACCTGATGGTTCCCTGCCTCCAAAACCTCGCCTAGGTTCCGGCAGAGCTCCCACAATCGGTGGGGCGAACCTCCCACAGAGGCCTTAGCGCGGACCTACGGGTTGCAATCCCGCCTGCCGCCTTCCTCTCGTAGCCAATAGAGTAGACTTAGATTTCAGAAGGGCAGAAAGAGATAGATTAGAGACTCTCAGATCCAAGAGTGGTACTCTCAGTCTTACTGGAGAGGGCCTTGTAATCTTGATGCGCCTGAGGGCCCCGCAATGGTAGCCAATGTCACAGTTTGGTCATCCCCTAAGGTCAAACTGTCACGGCCAACCCTCTGCCGACCTTTTAAACCGCAGCACCAACCTCCTTCGCCACTATTCCACCGAGCTGCAGTCGCAGCCTCCTTTCCCAAGTCCAGTCACCGCCGTATAGCAGATCGCAACGGTTAGCTACGGCTGCAGCAGTGCAGTTGAATAGAAGCAGCAACCGTATGCGCAGCCGCAATCAAATGGTTGGGAGCAGCCCATAACAGTTGATTAGCAGCTTACCTCGCCCCGCAGCCTTCGGTCCGCAATACTCAGTCACAACAACTTCCTCAGCTGGCCTAGCAGGCAGAAGTCCTGTGCCCCCGCAGCAGCAGTTCAATAAGTAACCAACGGACACGTCGAACCCCCTTGCTCCCCAGTAGTTGGTTACCTACGACAACAGTCGTGGCGTCACACAGCGAGGACACAACAGATAGCAGGAATACAGCGGTCCGCGCAATCACACTGGTTGCAACATAGTAATCATAACACACACTCTAGGCGAACCGCGAATACAACAGGCACAGCAGCAATCCCCCCTTCGTTGCCCTGCCCGTAGCCAGCCTGTTCGGCAGAGTAGCAGTCCCCGTCAATGGGTAGGCCCGCAGCCCGCAGTTTAACTCTCGGCTACTCTAGTCAATGCAGTGGGCAGCGCCCTCGGTCGTTCAGACAAGTCTCCTACCCCAACCGTGAGGTGARCACTGGCCAAACAAACAGGTAAGTTTCTAACGGCGCAGCCTGCTTCCCGCTACTCCCATCGRAAGGGTGAGCAAGGTCGAATAGGCCTGCCGTAGCCCCAGACCAAATATGTTGCCAAGCCTCCCCCCCCTGTCGTTCTTCAGCTCTGCACAGCG